GGAGGTAGAATAAATACAGTGGTTCAAATTCTACCCCAGCCCCATGCCACGCTCTGTCTCTGGTTACCTGTGTTTTGAGACTGGCGTAGCACCTTCTGCACATTACCATGCACATGCGGTTCCACAAGCAGTGGATAATCTTGTGTGTGTTAACTTTTACCCACATGGCCGTATGGGGACTTACCTGCTTGCCACTTGTTTCTGTTTGTTTGTTGTCAGTTCCATATTATGGTTTGAGGAGTGACCCATACAGATCTTGTATAGGGATTTTCAACCATAATACTGTTGACGAGGTCAAGTAATTTCTTGTTGTGACGTTGCCCTGTGCACTACAGGATCTTCAGTTCCACTCCCTAGAAACTAGTAATTTCACCTTCCTCAGTATGACAATCACAGATGGCTTCACACATGGCCACATGTCCCCTGGGAGGCAAAATTGCCCCCGGTCTAGTTCATTCATTTTCCTTTTTTTTTTTTTTTTTTTTTAGTTCATTCATTTTCTTGGCTGTGTTGAATAAAAGGTCACAAAGTTTTGACCTGGTCACTTGTTCATAGACAGGTTATTTCTGGTATTTTGCCATCACAAACAAAAATGCCATGAGCATTTTTCATGCTTGTCCTCTTAGGCACATATAACAACTTCTTCATTATTAATAAAATACCAAGTGCCCAAAGGTAGTCACGTGATATAATGCTTTCTCATGTGTTCATTGTCAAGTTGAGCTATTGTGAGTTGTGGCCACTCACACTTTACGTCACCGGTTTGTGCTTCCCATCTTCTGTATTATTTGAATCAAGTACTGGGTATTATTTTATCTACACTTCTTATTATCCATCTCTAAAAATAAGAAAATGTAAATATGCTATCACCCCGTTAGCACTACTTCCTTTATATCGCCACATATCACTGTTCAAATACTCAATTCTCTCATTTTTCAGTTTTAAAATTCAGAATGCACAGAAGGTTCACACATTGTAATTGTGTGATATGTATATTATGCTTCTTTTTTCTTTCATAATTTTTAAATTATGGTAAAATATACACAATATAAAATATGCCATCCTGAGCATTTTAAGTGTACAGTTCAGTAGCATTAAGCTTATCACACAGTGTGCAGCCATCACCACCACCCATATTTAGAATTTTTCATCTTCCCCAACTGAAACTCTGTCCCCATTCAATGCTAACTCTGCTTTCCTCCCTCCCCCATCCCTCAGCACCCACCATGCTGCCTTCTGACTCTGGATTCAACTAGTCTCCTACTTTCTTTCCTCTGTAAGATCCTCTCTTATCCCTCTCCCATTATTTTTCCTTACAGTTTATTTATGGAAGCCTCATAGGGTTTTTGCCGCATGAGTTTTGCTGCTTGCACTTCTGTTGTGCTATCTGACACACTCCTATTTCCTGCATTTCCTTAAACTGACATTAGGTGCTGTATTCAGGTTTAATCTTGGTAATGACATAACTATTGTTGGGTGTGTTTTCTATCAGGACTCACCCAAGGTCTGTTCTATTTCTCTTGGTACATCAATAACCATTTTGATCACTTCCTTGGTCTATTTTGCAAGTATTTTCTGAGGTCAGTGGCTTCCCCTCCCAATGACCGGAGCTCTGTAGCTGAGACAGGACAGTGGGGTTGTGCAGCTCAGGAGTCCTGGTGCTGGCCTCTGTTTGCACTGAGAGTGAGGTAGACATGGCTCTCTCATGTCTCTGCCTAGCTCCAAGTGTTCCAGCTGCTCTAAGGTAGGTCTTGTAGGAAGGTTCCCTGTGAACAGGCAGGAGTCCCATTCCTTAGCACAAGCTCTTCAGACCTGGTAGGTGTCCTGTGTATCCCTTTGGTAGGTGACTGCTGTCACTGAGGATGCGTTTTCAGAGAGCAACTTCAGAGCCTCATTCTCATTGTGAATCATGTATTCAGCTAGTTTGGGCAGGTTACTAGCTGCTGATTGTAACATCTGCTGTTTAGTGAGTGGCAGTTCTTCTAAAACCTGATTGAGCACATTTAAGCATGGCGCCTTGATCATCCCCATCCACCCCAGCAGTAGTCACCTTGTGATCCCGTGCTGCAGAAGAGGAAACCAAGGCTCAGCAATGAAGCAGCTCACCCAGCGCCCCTCAGAGAGAAGTGCACATTAGGGTCTGACTTGGTTTTGGATTTGTTTTTTTTTTTTTTTTAACAGTTGAAAAGTGCCAAATTTTTTTGACTCTTGACAAACCTTATTTTATCCATGCTGAAAAGTTAGGCAGTTAAAAAAGATACTCAGTGAAGAAAGAGTAAGTCTCCTCCTTCCAGTTGTCCTCTAGTTTTCCTACCCAGGGGAAAAGGGGCTGCCAGTCTTGGGTTTGTCTTTCCAGAGAGGAGCCTTGCCTGAGTAAGCCACTTGCATGACCTACACATTTTAGGTATCAGTAGTCTGCTGAGCTCATTGTTCTGTGTATTACTTTCCCCCACTTAACAGTGTACCTTAGAGATCCTTTTATCTTTCTTTACATGTAAATCTATCGTTGTTTTAGAAGCATACCTTGCTCCCTCAAACTGGCTATCCCATAATCCACCTAAACAGGCCCTAGTGATGGCTTCTCCATTGTTTCCCACTTTGCCTTTTACAACAGCTCTGGAATAACATCTGTGTGAAATCCTGTGTTCAGATGAAAAGGTTGCTGGCAGCACTGCTCAGGTTGGCTGGGAGGCCCAAGTCTCTTGCCTTGCAGGTTTGTGGGGCATTGGAACCCTAACACCTCTCTTAGCCTCCCCTGCTTATTGTGGGGCCATCCTTCTCAGAGGCCAGTGTCCTGCAGGAGGCCACAATTTAATGAGTTCCAGCAATGTGTCAGTGTGTACAAAAGCAGTTCCCTCTTTTATCCAGGTGGCATCCCAATGCAGAAAGGCTCAGGTGCTGCTGGGATTCCATCATGACCCCGGTGCTGCTGGCCTCCTGTTCTCTCCCTCCCACCTGGAGCCTCATGGCTGCTGTTCCCCCACCTTGAATGCTGCTCTATCCCTCAGGAACACTCCCACCATACTCACACATACCATGCACCCCCCCCCCATACACACCACACACCACATCACACACTCCTCCCCCACACCCTATAGACAGTACACACATCACACACCACACCCCATACACCCCTCATACCCTCCCCCTGACACACACAACCACCCCCTCCACCCCGCGTGCGCACACACCCACACACATACACACACCACATTCATATTCCTTTCTTAGGGAAACTTTGCGATGCTTGGCAAGGTCAGACTCTGTCTTTCTGCATCTCTCCCTTCCTATCCCAACATAATTTCCATTACATTGTCATTGGCATCTGTCCCCTTTCCATGAGGACAAGTTCCATGCTTCTTTTCTGCTTCCTTTGAATCACAGTGACTCACACAGTAAGTACCCATAAACATGGATTGGCTCATGGAGAGACAGTGGATGTCACCAGTGCTAGGAGGTGGTGTCCAGGTGACATGGGAGCCCATTTTCTCTTTCTAGTCCCTGCTTCCTCCTGCTTCGGCCTGAATGCCTCCAGGGCCACACCAGCCATTTGCAGAGGTAGCTCCACTTGTCACCTCATCCTTTCCTGAGGGCGGGTTGTGATGGCTGGAAGGCAGGAGAGAGGAATGCAGTCATTAAGGACCTGGAAGCTGTTGGGAAGCGCCGGCCACGTGGAACTATGCCTTCCTGGGACCCCCTTGACCTTGTCCTGATCATCTGCTCAGAGCCAGACAGCCAGAGCAAAGGAAGGAGGCCCTACAGAGCTTGAGCTTAATTTGAATTCTGAAGTCTTCCCTTCCTCTTCACAGCCAGCGGCATCTGTTGTACCCTCAGCCTCTCCCTGCTTTGTTTCCAGTTGGCTCGACTCTGTGACACTCAGTGCTGGACTAGACTTCCTTCCAGACCTTCAGAGTGGTCCAGTAGCTCAGGCGTCAGGGATGTGTGTTTTATCTGAAAACTGCAGGTTCCTTTTCTGTGAGTGGGAATGAACATGGAGCCTGCATGTTGGAAGGTTCCACTGTATAGTGCCAATGAATGAAAGCTCTCGGAGCCAGGCACCTTCATCTCTCATCCTTTGTGCCTGGCGTGGCACAGGTGCTCAATAAGTGGTTGTTTTGTGGTAACTTCATTTTTGTAGAGCAGAAAATGACTGCACAGACCAAATGATAATTAAGAAAAAGACAGGAGCAGGGCACGATGTCCTCTCAGTGGTATCATTTTATAATATTACATGCTTTTAAGCTGACTTAACTTATTTTAAGGAGAGGGAATTGAGGGTGAGGGTTAACTTTTTCTTTTCTTTATTTTTTTCTAACATAGGTATTTTTAGGACTCTCTTCTCGTTACTTTTCCCCTCTTTAGTACAAGATGTGAATGAATGCCAGAGTGGTATTTTTTCTTTTTTAATTCTTTTTACCTTTTAGAAGGGTTTGATTGCACTCTGGAAGAACAGCTCTGGGTTTGAATAATAAATGGAGAAGGGAAATAGAACCTTGTAAGAGCAAGATGTGGAGGTCAGTTAAAATTGCAGTGCAGTGAAAGCCAAAGGTAAAGCAGCTGCTCAAGTGTAGTTTTGCCCACGGCGTACCAAACATGGCCGCACACTATGTGATGTAAATTGGGGTCCTTCCTTTGTCTGCCCCTTTGATGGCATCTTTTTCTCTGTCCCAAGTCTCATTTTTCCTTACTGCCTGCTTTGGCATGATTTGGAGTCTGTGGGATCGCTGCCCTGCTGATAGCCTCAGTTCCCTAGCTTGTCCCTTCCCTGCCTGTGTGGTATGGGCCCCACCCTTTGGCAGCCCTTTGTTGGGGGCTTGGTGTAACCCTCCAAATCCTGCATTATTGACTTACTAGGTCCATTTCTCAATGGAGCAAACTGAGAAGTCTCCTGATTCACCAGAGGCGCGTGGGTTCATGTAGTACTTGGACGCAGACTCAGGACTCTTGATTCCCTGCCATTACACTGCTCCCCCCTCAATTCAAACAAAGCTCAGTGTCTGTCATGTCTCTGGCACAGCCACCTCTACTGTGAGGCTCTCAAGTGGTTCCGCTCCCGCCTTGTCTCTCCTTCTACCGTTGTGCACCAGGGCTTCGTTTAAGTCGTACTGGTCACTTCGTCTTGATGTCAGAAGAGCCCTTCGGAAACTCGGAATCTGGAGAGGGCAGAGTTTTTCCCAAAGCAAGTAGGGGATTCTGAGGGCAGTGTAGCTGTGCATGTTAGAAAAGGGAGTGGAGGACTATGATGGAATAAGCTTGACAAATGTTGGATTAAAGATACCATGATAGTTTACTTACTTTTGTGTATCTGTGACCAAAACATGACAGGAACAACTTAAAAGGGAGGAAAGATTTATTTCAGCTCATGGTTTTAAAGCTCTCATTCCATCAACTCATGGCGCCAGGAAGCAGGGGAAGAATGCAGGAAGGGACTAGGGCAAGATTTAGCCCCCCAAAGATGTGCCTCACCATGACCTGCTTCCTCCAGCCTGGCCCCGCCTCCTGCCTCCACCACCTCCCAATAATGCCATCATGTTATGAGTCCATCAAGGAATTGACCCCCTCAGAGGTCGGAGCCCTCAGGATCCAGAGTCTCCTGAACACTTCACAGACACACCCAGAGGTGTGTGACTAATCTCCTAGGCAATCCTTAGTTTAGGCAAGCTGATATTCCAAATTAACTATCACTGTCTTTACTATAGGACTTCCCAAAGGGGTCATAAGAAGGGCACATTTTACCTCTCAATATAGGAGCATTCCCTGAAACTTCCCCAAGAAAACCCCTTTTCTAGAAGATGGTCATGGAAGTTTCTGAGGAGTGCCTTGAGAAAAGCCAGGCAGAGTTACATGTCATGCTGGGCACTGATGTGCTAGCCACAGGGAGCTTGTCAGAGCCTGTTGGGTCTCAGGAGCCTGCTCTGTCTGGCATGGGACAGGGCTTGAAGGAGGGGAGGTGACATAACGTAGTCCACGGCCCACTGGGGCAAGCAGCAGGGCAAGCTGCTCAGGTTCAATCTCAGGTCTGCCTGGCCTTCCACCTCCTCCTCTGCCTGGTGGGGGGGGCCTTGGTCTCAGCTGCAGTGAATTTCCCAGGCCCTTTGGCCTCTGACATTGGCTCACAGCAGGTAGCTTATTCCGGTGCAATCTGGTATTCTTCACTCTTCCTTTTTCTGTCTCTTTGTTTTTCTTTTGTCTGTGTGTATTTCTCTCTTTATTCCTTTCTTGGTGTTTGACTTCTGCCCATTTCTTTCTTGTTTTTTCTCTCTTTGTCTTTCTTTTTCTCTGTCAATGTCTCTTTCTGTCTTTATCTGACTCTCTCACTTCCTGACTGTTGTCAGTCTCTCTGTCTGTCTCTCCTGGACACCTGAATCTTTTTCTTTGGTTGTCCCCTCTGTCCTTCCCTAACCTCTCCCTTTCCATTGTCTCACTTAGTAAACATTTACCTTGCTCTGCAATGCACTGGTAATTGCTGTTCATTGCAAGTGCCCTGGAAAAACCACACATCCTTCCCATCTCTTCACTGGGGTCCCAGTGCAGTGGGGTACAGCAGGATCAACTACCATCCACTCCCTGTCTACTCTCTCCCTGCCCCTCACCACACATAGGCTCCCCTGATCTGTGTGCCTCAGCCTCTGCCACTCTGCATTATTGCTTCATGTTGACTCTTGTTTTCCCCTGTGGCTGAGAGCTTCCCTGTGACAGGGACTGTGTCTTCCTGTCCCTCTTTTAGAGCATGTAGCATATGATGTATAAATCTGACCACACACCTTCGGTATCCATGGTAACACTCTGCTAACCAGGGCTTGATTGTGCAGAAAAGTGCCTTCCTGTCCTGTGGATGACAGAGGCTTTCTGCTAATCCTCACTATGACTAGCCTGGGGTTTCCACAGGACACCTTCCCTCCACTGTCAAAGTGTTTAAGCTGGTGGGAGAGAAAGACCAGTAATTTGAAATTCAGAGATGAGAGAGGTGGAAAAAACCCATCCCGAGTTTTGTAATAAGAGTCACTTTAAATAAAATGCTTCCTGGGCCTTTCTCAATATCTTAAAAACCTTCAGAGGGAGTGATCTCATTTTGGGATTGCTGCTATTTAAGTAGAGAAGCTTAATAAGAAACACATTTTTCAGTGGGTGACACTTGCTGAATATCTAATGATCTAGTACCAAATTGTCTGTGGTCCCACAGCAGCTCAAAAAATCGAATTCCAAACTCTTAAGAAGCTGTGTAATTCGGCACTTGGACATCCGTGTTTTAATCGTCTGTCGTCTTGAAGGAGATTATTTGAAAAGTGCCATTTAAGAGTGGCTACTAAAAATAGATCTCACATAGAGACTTAACTCAGAAACACTAGTTTTTGACACAAACTCATCTAGAAAGATGCTTGCAGAGCCCACTTCAAACCTCTCAGGGCCAGGGGATAAAAGCTCCTCCTTGGGTCCAGCCGTGTTTTTTTCTAATCCCCGAATACCTGAAGTGATCATGTGTTCTGTGAGATGAATGTAAATGGGAATTACTGGATCTCATGTCTTGTCTTGTCTTTCTGATGGGTTTGTGTTAAGCTATTGCCCCTGATTTTTGCTTTTTACCATGGGCAGCTGGTCTCCCCTGGGGGCTCTCAGGGGCTGGGTGTTTGGATGGGCAGGAGCCTGGCTATCCAAGACTTACAGGTGTGGAACTTAGAAAATACATTTCCATTAAGATCAGGGTTTTGTATGTACTGCAAATGCAAGCTTCACTTCAGAGCTAGTTCTACCTCATGCAGACAGGAAGCACAACATTGCCACGATTTGTAAACTTTATGGCACATGATGACTTCAGCTGAGAGTGGAAGGAGAGTTTCCTGCCCTGGCTTTGGCAGCCTGTCAGTCACTCATGTTTCTGTGAGGAACAACACTTGGAAGATGCAGCCTCTGCCCTTGAGGAGGTCAGAGTCCAGGATATGTTTTGTGTAATGTGTGTCTCTAAGGTTGGACTGTGTTGTGGTTTGGCATGGAGATGGGCCAAACCAGAACTCTGGTTCCTTTCCTGCCTCTGATTCTGAAGACGATGAGCTAGTATCTGTGGCCACTTGTGAGCCCCATTTTAACTTCTCTTTTTTCTCTGGCAAAGGTTTACCTGCTTGGTTTGAATTCGCTGCTCATCACAACCTGGAAGGAGGAGTGACAGGTGGCAGTGGCAAGGATGCTCTTGGGATCCTCGCGGTCCCACATCTCCTTTTATTTATCACCATGTCCTACCTGATGTGAGCCCACTCTCTGTCCTTTGGATTCGTCCTACTCAGATGCACAGATTGAGTTAATCAAAATCCTGAGCTCATGACACTCGCTCATTGTTGGTCCATCAAGGCCTATCTTATTTATTCCACAGTCTGCTCTGATTTCACCCTTCACCTTCCACAGAACCAGCTCCTAGCTAGACTCCACCCTCCCTCTACACAAGATAGTGATTGCAAGTCCCTGGATTGCTTTTGCTCCTGACTAGTGTGTAGTTTCTCAGTGTGATGTATTGGTATGGAAAAGGAGTTCCTGTGACTGGGGCTGGACTGGTCATCGCCCTCCCTTCTAGGTAGTTAGACTATGGCACCACCCTTACCTGGTTCATTGTTTTGTCATCCTAAAAACCTCTTCCATTCCTCTCCGCCGTGCTTGTAAATCTCGCTGGCCAAGACAAGTTCACTTACACCCTAATTTCATTTTTTCTGTTTCTGCTAAATTAACACACATGGTATTTCCACAGATACATAATAACAGCTTGAATTATACTTGTACAAACCCTCTAACTAAATATATTAGATGCACTTACTCCTTAATTTAATAAAGTTCCTTCTTCATGTTAATAGAGTTCGATACTTGATTAGTCACACCTTCCTCACCAGTTGCATGCAAGTTGCACATCTTTGAAAAAAGTATTTCTTCCTGCTGAAAAATTTTTTCCTGGAAAGCAAAACTCTATCTTGATTTCTTTCTCTTCTGAACCTTCCATTATTTAGGTTTAATGGGCTCAGAAGTGAGCTCTGGGAGGCTTCCTTATCTCTTCAAAGTGAAATTCTATAGCCTGTAGCACAAATCAGTTTTTTGCTGTGTTTTCATGGAATATGGTTCTCTGAGCAGCTGGTCTGTGGGCCCTAGAGCACGTTATATCTACATTCATTACTGTTTGTTTTCTGAGAGACCAGCAAGTTACCTGGTCAGATGGGAACAGGTGCAGCTTGGTAAAAGGGATCCCTGACTTGGTTGCAAAAAAGCCACCCCATTGGCTGCCCTTGACCCGTTATTTGGAAACGACCTCTTCTGAGAGATGGGCACCATCTTGATATTGTCAACCCTCTGGTGTTCATGAGTCTTGCCCAGGAGGCCTGCAGAGCTACTGCTCTGTTTCTGAGTGAGACAATCTTGACAACTAGAATTCAAATGGTCTTCTCACACTTATTAAAAAAAATCAGGGCATGTCCAGACCAAAGCACTCCAGTGGCATTGGTTTGAGATGTAGCTGATGTCACCAACAAAGCATTTGATGAACCTTGACAAACTCAGACCCCCTTAGCTTTTTATTCTTTCTCTGATCAGGTGGTCTTTTTTTTTTTTAATCTGTCCACATGTGTCACTGCCCCTGCCAGCCCCTTCCAGGGTGGAAGTTACCACCCTGTCCTAACAGAGCAGAGTTCACAGCCAGCCGTTATCACTAGTGTCTCCATGTGGTTCAGATAGCTTTTTAAACTTAAGAAAATTATAAAACTTTATTGAAAGTCATTTAATAATACTTAAGTATGGAAGGTTATATTACAGTCATAAAGAGTATAATAAAGATATTTATACTGTACAATTTTTCTATAGGTTTGATGAACTTTAAATTGAAATGTGAAAGAGAAATATTTGGTGTTTTAATGGCATTATTTCAAATTTTATATAGAAAGACAATCAGCTGCTGTGTGAAATAGTAATATTATCTTTGATTTAAAAATAAAGATGCCTGCCAGATGCTGAGGCCCTGACTCAGGGCTTCCTCCTTGCTCTTGCTGCCTGCTTTTTTTCTTTTTTCAGGTCCTGGGGTTTGAACTCAGGGCCTCGAGCTTGGTAAGCAGACTCTAAACCCTTTTTGCTTTTAGTTACTTTTTAAAATACAGTCTTTAGTTGTGGGTTTTTTTTTCCCCTGTCCTGACTGGCCTGGACTGGACTGTGATTCTCCTATTCATGCCTCCCATATAGCTGGGATGACAGGGGAAGGTACCACCATGCCCAGATTTATTGGTTGAGATGAGGTCTTGCTAACTTTTGAGGGGCCTGGCCTTCTGAGTAGCTGACATTGTAGGCATGTGGATGCACACTGCTGGCTCTTTCTTTGCTGAGTCTGCTCCCTGGCACTTGCTCTTGCTGTTCCTTCTTCTATTGATGGCACTTTGCTTTTCTACCTTTTTATCTTTAAAAGACATGTTTTCAATTTAAAAAAAATTTTTTTGGAAGACTTTAAATAATGCACCACATATATAACAGTACAAAACATGTGTCCTTCTCCTAGAGATGCTACTATGATAAGTTTGCATCCTTCCTGGTATTTTTTATGTACATACAGATAGATGTGTATATATGTATTATATATAAATGTATATGTATGTATATGACAGTATAAATGTATATGTATGATGACATACTTACCTATTTTTAACATCGGGGGAACAATTGATACTCTTGGAATTGTTTCAAGACTTTTCCTTCTCCATTCAAGAATATGTGTTGGCTTCTGCTTCTCTGCCCTCCTCCTCCTCCTTTCTGTCAAGGTTTAGCTCATCCCTTGAGAGAGCCCCAGGTGGTCCGGCAAAGTTGCCCTTTTTTCAAGATGGTTTCTTAATAATGTTATTATTTACTAGTTATCTAGGTGTGTCTTTTGGCATCTCTGTAAGTCCTTATAAGGCTTTACCCTCCTGCCTATACAATGTCAGCTGTCCTTTTTAGGATACATATTGTATACCAATCCCATTCCGTGTGCTATAAACGTAGTGGCAGGTGGGTCCTGCTGCCTGCACTTAGAGATGAGCACAGGTGAGCTAGGTGGCATCCCCAAGTCCTTGATAATAGTGAGCTATGTTGCTGAAGGCTTCTACTCTTTTAAAATCTTCATGTCCTCATCTTTAAACAGGATTGGTAAAGCTCACCGGAGAGAGTTGAATGAGGTTTAAATTAATCGGTTAATGTCTCCAAATCACCAAGTAGGGGGTAAAATGCCACTTTGTCACAGCTGACTAAGAACACCCTCTTCCCTGCTTTGTTTTTTCTTTGTAGCATTTATCAGCACTTGGCAGGGAACTGTTTGTGTGCTGTTTCCCAGTTTGTCCATTGTACACTGGACTGAGCTTCCAGAACCTGTTAGGGTTGTTAAACGTTTATTGAATGAGTGAGTGAGCATTAGCACTCACTTCTTACCATTACATCCCACTGTGGGTATCCAGAAAGTACTCAGTTACTTTACTGAAGCTTAGTGCTCTATGCCGGCTCCTCAAAACAAGGGACTGTGCACTTATTTGTCTCGAGATGGTCACTTTGCTGTTTTTATTTTTTACTTGAAGTCAGTAAAGGTGCTACTGTGTCAATATCATGTCACCAATCCCTGATTTTCTCACATCTCAGTTTAAAGGGTTTCCATTTTGGGTCTGAAATTATCCACCAGTCACTTCAGTAGAGGCTGTCAGAATCAGATGGAACTTAATTGGAGAAGCTGAGGGAGAAGAGCAAGCTGCTTGTGGAGACTTGTCTGCTCTGAAGTTGCCTACCGGTGCATGCGGGCAAGGCTGCCGTTGAAAGCCCCAAGCCACCTGGGATGGAGGATGGTGACTCCCCAGAAACTGGTTAGCAGTGGCCAGGGCTTTCTGCATTCTCCAGGCCTTTCTTGCTTCTTTTTGTAGACAAGGCACTTCACTTGTCTCAGCTGTAGTTTTCATATCCATAAAATGGGTATAGTACTTCAGTCAAGACAGATTGTGACTCTCTGTAGTAACAGCCACCCCCAAGGCATTATGAGCAGAAAACACTGGGCCTCTGTCTCCTCATGTCTAATGTCCTTCAGGGTTGGTAGGCCTCCGCTCTGTGTTCCCATCATCATTGACCCCCAGACCCAGAAGAGCTTAGCCAAGCACTTACTGTCTCTCAGCAGTTACCGTGAGCTTCCACCCACAGTGGACACATGGTGCTTGCCCTCTTCTTTCATTGGTAAAACAAGTCCATAGACGTATCTAGCTGTGGTGCGTGGGATTGTGGTCTCAGTAGGCACCAGGAGGAGGAAGTAGAGTAGCTAGTAAGTAGCTCTGAGGGAGTCCCAGATAGCACTTGCCTCCCAGTCAGGAGGACTCAGCTCTTATGGCACCGGGTCAGCACTCACTGACGGGAGTGATCCTGCCCAGACACATGGGCAAAGCCTCATCTACTGCAATATTCAAGCAGTCTGCATGAACCGAGCCCTCACTTCCTGACTTACACGCACTGTGCTTTGAACTGGAGATCAGACAAGACCCATGTGGTCAGTATCCTGAGAGAGCTGAGTCCTCCTTGAAGGCAGGGATTGGATTTTCATTTTCAGGCCTTGGCCTTGCTAGGAAAACTTAGCAACTAAAACAAAATGCCAGAGCTGGAAGGGAGCTTTGGGCAATGGTGACTGTGTAAGTTAGGAAGCTTCCAGTGAAAGAAGCAGAGAACACAGTCCAAACTGGCCTCAGCAAAACAAGGGGCTTGTTGCCTGAGAGAGCTGAGAAGTCTGCGGTCAGGTGAGTGCCAGCTCCATCCACATAGACCCTGAGGTCTGCGATGCCATAGGACTCTTGTCCATTTACACACTTGGTTCTCGCTGTCCTCCAAACCCAATCCTGGGTGTGTGATCCCAGACTACTCAATGTTAAGGAGGCAGAGTCCCTGCCAGCAGAACCCCAGGGACCCTCTGACAGAGCCGGTTCTTATGGCTAGAGGGACAGGGCACACTATGCTCCTTGCTTCTGTTACATTCTGCTGTCAGACCGAAAGCAGGAACAAGCAGGAGTCTAGCACTGTGCCCTTCTTCTGCTGTGACTGAGGTCCCCAAACACCCTATAGGAGTCTTCAGGTACAAAGTGGATGGGGGTGGGGGGCATGCCATCTAGGGGCTCAATTATAAAAGAGATGCGATG